CCTTTCTCCCTCTCACTCTGTCTCTCTCTGGTTAAATTAAAAATAAATAAAGTTAAATGAAATAATACCTTTTTTTTTAAAAAAAAAAAGGAAAGAGATTTTTGCTGTAGGGTATGTGAGCTTTCTACAAAGACACAGAGAGAGAAAATGAGAAACCCCTCAGGGGAGATGGCCACACTACAATTCCTTTTCTTCCATTATCCTCTTGGGATTTGGGGCATGCATGCACACACACCCAGCATGAGTTTCAAACCGCCAGGTTCGGGACTTGAACAATGGTTGGCCATGTGAGTGGGAATCCAGTGCCTTAACCACTACACTACCTGCTTGCCCCAAGGAATCCAAAACTTTAACCAGCTCTGGGATGCTGTCAGGCTTGGGACAATTGTGCCACGGGCTGCCTCCCAATCCACCTTTCTGGGAACGAATGAAAAGTGGCTCCCCCAGCCCTGGCCCAGGTTCCTGTCCACTGAATCACAGCAGTCACGTGCCCCCTCTGGAGACCTGGCGACCACTGACATCCCAGACCAGCCTGCTGTCAGCTCACCTTCGCCGCCGATGTGAGGTTGCTGCGAGAGAGAGGGAGAGCCCAGTGAGGACGGCAGCACAGCCCCACCTCTCGGGTGCTGCCCTGGCTACACGTTTTCCTCCTTGGATTCCACATCAATGCCCGGCTACCAAGTGAAACCATCCTGCCCTTCAGAGAGCTTCTGTTCTACACAGGAGAGCCTGTGCCCAAAGGACCACAGAGCAGGACCAAGTGAGGGCTGGGAGGAAGGGCTAGGACACAGACCAGGAGCTGAACTCATCAGTCTCAGGTAAGGGAGTGGTCCCTCTTTCCTTGGGGGACCTGGAAGGCTTCTCAGAGGAGGTGGCTTCCAAGCAGGGCCTGGAAAGCTGAGAGCAGAGCATTGCAATAGCTAAGGAAGGGAGGAGGAAGTCCTGGGGGGGTGGGCCCCCTTGGTTCCTATTACTAATTATTTTTTTTTAATTTTGTTAGCACGTACACTCGCTGGGGATGGGAGGGGTGTGGAGAAAGCGCTCCCATGGGGAATGGGCACACTGCAATTCCTTCTCCATTCTCTTCTCAGGATTTTAGGCATGTATACACTCACCTGGTATGTTTCTCGAGCCCCTGGATCTGGGACTTGAACTGTACCATCAGTCATGTGGGATCCAGCCACCACGCTGGCCCCTACCACCAAATTTTAATTGAGCCCCAACTAAGTGCCAGACACTTGAGCCAGAGGAGACCGATTTTAGCTGTTCTGCCAACTGAACAACAATCGCCCGGCAGCTTGGGGCCCCTCGCAAGGAAGGACGCAGTTTGCACACTTGGCCCATTTTGCAGAGGGTAAACTGAGGCCTGGGGAGGGGGCACTCACCTTGAAGATGTACATGCTCTGCACCACCACGGGCCTTTGGAGGCCCAGGCTTCTGGCCAAGGCCTGGAGGGAAGGCAGAGGTCAGCTGGGCTGCATGTGGTCTGCCCACCCACCAGCCCTCACCCGCCTTACTCACCTGCACTTTGGGGGAGTGCGTGACCCTCCTGAAGACGGCATCATGGGCGTGCAGAGCTGCGGGACAGAGGTGGCTGATGGCCCCTCCCGGCCGAGTGTCCCTCCCGCACCCCGGGCACACACTGAGGCCTCAGCTGACGGGCTCACTTATGTCTTGCGCATGAGACCGTGTGCTCGCTTATTATCAAGTAACGGGCTCAACGGGCTCCTTCAGCCCCTTCCGTCACAGCCAGGGTCCTATTCCTGACCTCTGGCCTTCCGGGTCTTCCCTCTAGCCCCAAGTCCCCACTCAGAGGACGAAGGGCTCCAAGGGCCCTGTCCAGTGGTGGCAGTGTGGGGACTACCACTGACTTCATGTGACCTCAGGAAGCTGCTCCTCTTCTGTACGCCTCAGTGGAACTGTACTTGTAAAAGGGCACAGAGGAACAGCCACTTCCCCTAGGCCTCGATGGGCTCGGGGACGTGCCGCAGCAGCAGGCCTGGCACGGAAGGTCACTGCTCGATGTTATTGTTACTGCGAGAAGTGAGGGCTGCACCTACTTCATGCCACCAGGTACGGACTTTAAACTGGTTATGACATAAACGTTCATAGTATGTGCATTTTACAACTGGCTTACAAAACTACCATTATATAACTTCAGGTTTAAAAATAAGCAGCCTAAGGCACTGGACTCCCATGTAGCTGACTGCAGTTCCAGTCCCGGACTGGGCAGCCTGAAAATCATGCCATGCATGTATCTGTGCATGCTCAGAATCCCTTGAGGAGAATGGATTGCAGTGTGGCTATCCCTCCAGCGGATGCTTTCTCACTTTCCTTTCCCTCTCTATCTATCTGGCAAGTGCACACACATTATGGCAAAAAACTAAAAAAAAAAAAAAAAAGAAGAAGGAAGGAAGGAAGGAAGGAAAGAAAATCATGCCAGGCGTGGATGTGTGTGTGCCCAAAATCCCAGGATGAGAATGGAGGAGAAGGGATTGAGATGTGGCCGTCTCTCCTAGGGGGTGATTTCTCAGTTTCCCTTTCTCTGTCTTTCTCTCTCCAGCAAGCACACGCATTCTGAAGCAAAAACCTTAATGATAATAGAGACCAGCAGTTAGCATAATGGCTATGTCACTGGACTCCCACGTAGTCAACCATGGTTCAAGTCCCGGACCCGGTGGCTTAAACTCACGCTGGGCACATGTGCGTGCGTGCCCAAGATCCCAAGAGGAGAATGGAGAAGGGATTGCGGTATGGCCATCCCCCTGGGGGGATGATTTCTCACTTTCTGTCTCTATGTCTCTGTCTTTCCAGTGAGTGCACGCACCCTATCACAAAAACCTCTAAAATAATAATAATAATGATAATAATAGTAATAAAATGATAAAGCCAGAGGGAGACCTGCAGCCTGAAATGTCACGTGCCCACAGCCAGTGAGGCTTTTAAAGGAGTCAGGCCTCAGTTTCCCCCTTCTCTTCCCTGTCTCCGAGGTCCCTGCTCACCATGGCCAATTTTGTTGATGGATTTCTCTGGAGGGACCAAGAAATTTCCTGTGGCACAAAGAATAGGTAAAGGCAGAAGAACTGGAATCCAGCCTCCCACAGGCAGCTGACCTCAGCCCCATCACCCCTGCCTGCTGGGTCCTGCCCCCCGCCACCCTGTGGCTCCCCCACACCGCCAGGCCCCCAGCTCCAAACCTCTCTCATCGAAGACACCTTTCTCAAAGAAGAACCGAACCTTGTCACCACTGCTCAGGAAGTAGTCTGTGCTGCCCTGTGGACAGGGGACATCAGAGGGCGGGACTGAGGACAGCCTGGGGTCAGAGCTGGGCCTGGCAGAGAGGGAAGAGGACTCAAATGCTCCTGCCCCACACTGCAGACTCCCCAGGGCGCTTCGCAAACGTGTCCACTGAGGCACAGACGGCGATCAGTGCCCGAAAGAACAGCCCAGAGCTACAGACAGAATGTCTGGGAACCGTTTTCGTGTGTTTGTGTGTTTTTAATTTGCTAGAGGGCAGGGACACTCACCAAAGACAGAGGGGAGGGGAGAGTGAGAAAGTGCACCTGGGGAGGGCCGGGCTGCAACCCCTTCTCATCGTCCCTGTTTCAGGGTTTGGGGCATGCACAGGTACGTGCCTGGAGCGTTTTTCAAGCCACCAGATCTGGGGCTTGAACCACACAGATCCAGCTGCCCTAATCACCATGTTGTGGGCTGGCCTGGAAACTTCCTTTATTTTTTTAAAGAAGTTTTTCCTTAGGGCATGTGCGCTTATGGGGGAGAGAGAGACAGAGACAAACAGCGAGAGGGAAAGTGAGAAATTACCCCCCAGGGGGATGACCATGCTGCAATCCCTTCTCCATTCTTCTCCTGGGATCTTGGGCACACACACACACGCCTGGGGTGATTTTTCAGGTACCAGGTCCAGGACTCGAACTGAAACTGGCCATGTAGGAGTCCAGGGACATAACCGCTACACCATCTGCTGGCCCCATGGCCTGGAAATTTCTTAATATAATTCAGAACACAGATGCTGGAGTCAAACAGGCCTGGTTCTCAGATAGCTTAAGACCTTCATTTTACCTCTCAAAGCCTTGACTTCCTCACCTGTAAAAGGGGAAGGATAACAGGACCGATCGTCCTAAGTCATTGGCAGATTCAGCCAGAGGCCGAACCTTAGAGCAATTGAGAGCACAGACTCTGGAGTTAAAATGCTTGAGTTCAAATCCCAGTTCTGCCACGGGCTGGCTGTGCGGCCACGATCACATCACTGAACTTCTCTGGCCGTGCATTCCCAAAATGTGGCTATTTGGCCCAGTGGCAGGAGGGCATTGCTGGGTGAAGCTGGGCTGCACAGGAGCTCTGTCTGCTTCCAGACCAACCCTGTCACACGTGCCTGTGGTCTGGTCAACAGGCAGGCCGGGGCAGAACTGCAGCATGGTGAGACCTCTCTCTCTACCTGTGTAAATCCAACTAATGTGAGGCCAGCAGGCAGAGCGGTTATTTTATTTATTTAGTTTTTCCCCCGAGAGGTTTTTGCTGTAGGGCACAGGCATTTACTAGAAAGACAGAGAGAGACGGAAAGCGAGAAATCACCCCTCAGAGAGGATGGCCACACGGCAACCCCTTCCCCTTCTCCTCCATTCTTCTCTTGGGATCTTGGGCACCCAAGTCACTGGGTCTGGGACTTGAACCACAACCAACTATATGGTAGTCCAGCAGCATAGCCATTATGCCATCTGCTGAGTCTGATGTCGTACCGGTTATGTTGCTAGACTCTCACATGACTGACTGTGGTTCGAGTCCCAGACCCAATGGCTTGAAATTCACACCAGGCATATGTGTGAGTGCCCAAGATCCCAAGAGAAGAATGGAGGAGAAGGGATTGCGGCGTGACCATCCCCTCTGGGGGGTGATTTCTCACTTTTCCTCTCACTGTCTCTGTCTCTCTCTTCTCCGAGTGCATGTACCCTAAGGCAAAAAAAACTAAAAAAAGTCCTATTACTATAACTATGTCGGGGGTGTTGTAAGCATTACAAGTTGCTGTACATAAAGCGCTAGACAAACCCTTAGACTGCGCTAAGTACCATGTGAGTATTTGCTATTATCATCACTACAACTGTATAAAACTCAGCCTGGGCGTGGCTAAGTGTTCAATAAACACACGCTATTACCAATCTCTTTCTGGTCCTTGATTTGATCTGTTTTGTTTACAGAGAGAATGTTGCTATGTTGTCTAGGCTGTCGCAGCCTCTGAGTGGCTGGGATTAGGTGCATGCACATGCCCAGCCCTTCTGTTTTCTTAATAGTTTTTCTTTGTATTTTTAAAGTTTTGCTATAGGGCACGTGTGCTCACCCAAGAGACAAAAGAGAAAAAGAGAGAGAAAGTGAGAAATCACCCCTCCAACAGGGGGTGGCCACCCCACAATCCCTTCTCCTTCATTCTCTTCTCAGAATTTTGGGCATGCACACTTATGTGCCCAGCATGATTTTCAAACCACCAGGCCTAGGACTCCAGTCACACAGTCGGACATGTGGGGTCCAGCAGCCTTAACCTCCATGGGAACTGCTGGCCTTATTTTATTTATTTTATTTTATTTTATTTTATTTTGAGAGATTTTCACTGTAGGGCGCATGCGCTCGCCAGACAGACAGAGAGAGACATAGAGACAGAAAGCGAGAAATCACCCCCCAGGGGGGATGGTCACGCCGCAATCCCTTCTCCTCCATTCTCCTCTCGGGATCTTGGGCACGCACGCACACGCGCCCGGCGTGAGTTTAAGCCACCGGGTCCAGGACGCGAACCGCGGTCGACTACGTGGGAGTCCAGCGACATAGCCATTACGCTAACTGCTGGTTCCCTTATTTTGTATTTTTTGAAGTTTTTGTTGCCAGAGGGCACTCGCACTAGTCAGAGGGCAGCGCTCAAGACACAGGGAGAGAGCACCCCTCCGACGGGTGTCTTTCATAGTGTCAGCAGCAGGAAAGGCAGTCCTCAAACTATATACCGCAGAATATTTGTCGAGGACTATGAATCTATGGTTGAACTGAAAATCTTTCAAAATACATTATAGCTCCAGCCTTTTCTCTGTCATTTGGAGAGTGACCTAAAAACAAACAAACAAACAAACAGACAGACAGACAAACTGGTTTGAAGGAGAATTCCAGGACCCACAGGTATGCAGGCAATAGGGATTGCCCACAGGCCAGTCGCTGCACCCACTGGACCTAGTCCCTGCCCGTTTCCGTGGGCAGTACCACACGCATCATCAGGAGCGTTGTGCAGTTTACAGAGACGTACATAACTCAGAGACAGTGCAAGGGGCATGAAATCTGAGGGACGGAGAGCCAGGACCCCCGTCAATATATATTTTTAAGTTTTTCACAATATCGAAGTAAATATCAAGGGTTTTACTGAGTGGTGGCCACTCTGTGAGCTCTTTTTTCTTTTAAAAGATGTTTGCCATAGGAAGCATACACTCACTGAGGAGACAGGGAGAAAGTGAGAAATCCCTTCCTCTCAGGATTTTGGGCACACACACAACACACACACACGTACCTGGCATGAGTCTTTTTTTTTTTTTTTTTTCAGAGGTTTTTCCTTTAGGG